TGTAGCGAAATTCTAATCAAAATGAGACATCTCCCAGCTCTATACGACCTTTCTTTGCAAAGTTGTAGAATCTAGAGGAAAAGCCCTAAATGTTCATTGTCACCTCAGGTTTACAGAAAGAAAATGGAAAAATGAATTTAGGGCTTTTCCTGTAAACTCTATAACTTTGTAAAGAAAGGTCGTATAGAGCTGGAAGATGTCTCATTTTGATTAGAATTTCGCGGGCTACAATTCATGATTTATTTAGAAAAAGTTTTAGAGATTTTTGAGGTTTCTGGAAAACTGGTTTTCCAGAAAACGGCTAGGAAAGGCCTATGAACCCACATAAATATCATATTCGAAATCAGCATGGTCGATTATTTACAAATCTATTACCTACAACAGAAATCTTTAGCAAAGCTACCTTTTGGGTGTTTCCACGCACGTCCGCCTGCTTTATACAAAGTCGGACGAATCTCACTATGCTCATCAATTGGAGCATATCAGGTCACATACCAAACGATATTTTTATTGAAAAAAATGAGTCCATTGGTGGTGAACCAGTGCTTGTAAAAGTACCATGAGTTACATAGTTGGGATCCACAACACTCACCTTTTATGTTTTCTAAATATTTTCAAACTTTTCTCATAACGTCATTCGACAGAGCTTCGAAAGTTGTATATAGGATAAAATTCTCCAACTTGAAAGGCTTGGTGGAGGACAGTCGAGGGAAACGCAAAAGCGGTGAAATAGACCTTTTTATGACCGCTATAAGTGGATCAAGATTTCAAGAAAATGCTAACATTTTATGGCCAAAATGTAGTTTACATCTCGAAGAGTCAAATGGTAGAAGAATGAGTCTCTCAACATTCATAGTTTTTTAGTTAGTTGTGAAATAGCCCAACCTGCACATGGCCCTGCTCCAAAAATCGTGTCAGATTGTTTTAAAAATATAGACCATCAACATAGTACTACAAGGTCCATTAGGTGTCATTTCGTAGCAGACTTTTATAATTGGAAAAAACACTGTATTAGTAATACACTTTACCATCGTCATATATTATCCTACCTATTCGTTATTCTTTGTCAAATTTTATTGATATATAGATAATATTTGAAGCTGAACAAGAATCCGGTATTCATTTTATTATTAATTGAAAAATTATTTTTTATTATTATTTGGAAAAATCCGTGACTATTTTTTATCAAAAATTCGTTCGGAAAATCAACGTGTGGTTTTTCCTTTGTTACTGTTTTTAAATATATTGTTCTACAGTTTAACAATTAACTAAATGTGCACTATATGTCACTCAATGTGCTCTTAGATCAATATGTTGAATTGTGTTTTAGATGTATATTTCAGATATATTTCTACTTTTATTCCAGTTTTAAGTTTAACGTTGACATAAAACATCATTATTAATTAACTTTGTCCATAATACAACTTTGTACGTGTTTTTCGCGATTATAAAAGTCTGCGACGAAATGACACCTAATGAACTTTGTAATACTATGCTGATAGTCTTTGGAAAAAATATTTTTAAAACAATCTGACACGGTTTTTGGAGCAGGGCCATGTTCACGTTGGACTATTTCGCAAAGTAATACATGATAGTGATGGTATAACTTAAAAACGGTTAATATTAAGGAGGCGCATTATTTTACCATTTGAGTCTTCGACATTCAGAAAGTTGCGACGATTTATTAGCCATCGTTGAACTAGTCAGTGCCTTATTTTAGACGTCTAACCCATATCTAACTGAATAGTCAAAATTTGAAAAGTACTTAGACGATTACGATCATTTCCAGTGCAAAATTTAATTGATGGGTCGCTGCTGTCGGTGTTTGTTTTGACAAATTCTCTGTACACGATATCCACAGCACAAGTGAATGATTATAGTTCAATTCAGTCATTAATCAGATTGTGAATTTTCAAACAATAAGACAGAATTACTTAATGAGTAATTTGTGGATATTTTCTACTGTATTAATTTAGCTTTCAATTTATGAATTTATGTAAATAGTTTTTTGGCAGATAACAGAACAAGAATTATATATTTTGTTTCATTCGAAAATATTCATTCTTTCCGATATGGATCATTGGGATTATTTATTGTGCATGTCTGTGTTTACATTGAAGCCACATGTTCACATAACATCCAATGTAAATCGAATACTTGTTTTGGTAGTGTTCTCCTAATTGATCGATGCATGATTTCCTTAACGATAGCATTTGTTTTAATTTTTATCGAGCAGAAAATCGGACCTATAACAAAACGGTGACGTTTTCATCAAAAGTACTAGTTAGATAAATGCTGCATAAATGACGTTCTTTGAGTGAAAATAGGTAACGAGTTTGTAAATCTCAAAAATTGTTTAGTAAATACATCTTGTGAAATGTCTGGTTGAGGACACATTAAAATAAGTGTGGGTCCTTTACAATATTTTCCATACTGGCGTGCCTGAAATTTTAACAACTTTTCTCGATTACCTTAAATAACCAAGGTGGTAGCCTGAAAATGTTAATTTCGCAAAAAAAGGCGTGAAACTGATTGATATACAAACAGTAGATAATCAATAACTGTATAGATATTACTGTTAAAATGGTTATTAGCATTTTGCATAGAAATCAAACTATTATTCTTTATATATTTACTTTCCTTTGTCTGTGTTACATACTAATTTTCACGTAGTTGTACGTGCTATAAGTTCCCAGAGCATCAAATGAAAAAGTATTCCAGAGAGAATTACAGATCTGTCCGTAGTATGATTGTACTATACAGTTGCAATACCGTGTACATCTATCTGTTGCATGCGAAAATGTGTAGTAAATATTGTAGAAACCTACAAAATATTTATGAATCTATTAAAAAACAGTATCTTCTGTTTTTTAAAAGCTTGAATTAAATCATCTATGTTTCCATTAATCAACAAAAACTGATGAAACAATAATGGCATGTCACAAACGTTTTGTTCTCTATTGGCATCACCAACGATGATATTTTTTGTTATTCTTCCTTAGAAAACACCACAATAAGTAAGAAATGATCCTGGTTGTTATTTTCGCGCTTTTTGTATGAGATATATGACAAGTTATTGCAAATAATAGTATAATTTATTAGTTAACATCCGAAAATGGTGTTGATATGGTATCATTTATTAGCCCTCTTGCTTTAGTTATCATATTACAACAAACTGTTACTGAGCCTGTGGGCTAACTGTCAAATGATCTAGATGAATGTATTGAGAATGTTGAATATCTTATTGATCAACATTGTTTATCTAATATCAATAACATCTGTTGTATTGCATTAAAAATTCTCTCCGACGAACACTGAAACTTTGTTCTACATATGATAAAAACTCTGCTAATGTGCCGTCAGAATGTATATCGTTAACGCATTTTTAATTAATATTTTAATAATTAATATTTTTGTGCATAAGTTTTGCACAGAAATAGCGAAAACCATATACCATGATGACAACAATTCTAGACAAGAGTCTAGAATTGTTGAGAGTCTAAAAGTTTAGTTTCCTTGATTTCAATATTGACATATTTTAGGATTTCTCAAATGTTATACTTTTATTATAAATGTTAGTTGAGTAAATGTACCTGTACCTGTACTAAGAATATTTTGTATTTTCTAAATGGTAACTGTTTTCTGAGAAATAGTGTCAAAATTTTCACTTTCTGTACTTTTTTACTTCTATCCAATCTGTGAATACTATCAAGCAAAAAAAATACTCCTTAAATGTTCAATATTTTCTCCGAATTACAGCGTGTTCACTAGAGATGGAATCCCGTCTCTGATTACGATTAAGTTATTCCTGATCTCTATTTTAGTATAGAACTATGCTATCTGATGAGAGGCAGATCCCTGTGGATGTGTAACATTTTTTTATGCGATTCTGATTTGAAAAAACTTTTCGGTTTCGGTTCGTTTCGGTTTTGAAAAAGAAGTATTGAACAAAATAAATCTATCGTTGAATACTTCAGCTATACAAGTGTTTGCCTTGACGAAACTTGTCCTACATCATGCAGAAAAACTACAATGTTGAAGAATTCCACTCTTCTCTTAAATAATAAGTCATTAGTGTGTTCAAGTTCAGGAAATGTACGTGCATGTGTATATATTCAATTGTCTTTGTTTCACAAAACTTTCTATTTTTCTTTTTTTTACGACGTAAAAAAATCATCGTCATTAGCAGACATCATGCTCCTCATTAACATCGTACACCTCGATGATGCTGTTTTTTTGCTTCGTTTGTGAATGGAAGAAATAGTCGAGCAATCAAATGCACGGAATCCGGAAAGCGAAACAATGGTGGATGAAATTATTGGATTTTAAAGAAATGAAATAATTTGTTTCCACACGCGATTAAGCAGTTCCATAGTTTAATTTATTTTATTTCTATGTATATCAAATTTTGAAAATTCTGAATTAGTCTCAGAAGTTCAATATGATTCTGTTTTTTTTCTTGTTAAGAAAAGTTCAACTTAAATAATTTCCTTCAATTTATCTTATTTATGTTTTTTAATAGACGCCACCGGATAAAGATGATCATTTTCTTTTGGTGCCCATTGTTGCTAAATTTTTCATAATTATTTAAAATCAAAATTTTTCTTACTTTTTTTTCTCTTCTCTATTACCGTTCACATCTTTTTTTCTTTCAATTCGATTATTGTCAAACCAAAATCAACTAACATCGACCTGAAGCGTTTTTCAGAAATCCTTCATTTACGACAAATGCCATCGTCGAAAGATAAAGATAAAGACAGTAAAACGCCAAAAAAGGTTTGTAATTATTAATTGATTTCTCTTGCCTTCAAAGTATCAAAAAGACATTTCTGTGTTTCATGTAGTGATTAAAATCTGCAGTTTGAACTAAAGTATGCTCTCTAATATTTCTGTTTTAGGCGTCCACTGTGACAAAAGCCAAAACAAAAGAGGATCAAGATGTAAAAATTGCTGATGAAGTAAGATTTATTCAAATAACAAAAAAATAAAAATTTTTAATTGTTTTTCTTTCTCTCTTGTTTAGTCAAAAGCAAAGGAACTATCAAAGTCATCTTTGCCATCCACTGGCACTGTCGCATCAAAATCAACTCGTGTAACAAATACAGTAGGCAATTCTTCGGCATCACAACTTGATTCAACGTCTGGCGCCACGACAATATCCTCTTCTCATCCTCCACAAACACAATTAACTAAAATTCAACCGATGCCCGGTGTACCCCATATTAGAAGAGATAATCATCGTAATAGTTCAAGATTTAATATAACAAAAAATCGTGAACTTGTTAAGCTTCCACCTTTAAAAGAAACATCAGCAAATGAACGTGAAGCATTATTTGTACAAAAACTACAGCAATGTTGTATTATCTTTGATTTTCAACTCGATCCACTATCGGATTTAAAATGGAAAGAAATTAAACGTGGTGCTCTCAATGAAATGATTGATTATATTACATCAAATCGTGGCGTTATTACGGATTCTATTTATCCAGAAGCTGTTCGAATGGTATGTAGAACAAAAGAAAAAAGTAGTTTTAATCATATTCTCGAAATTTATACTTTTATACTTTCATTTTTAGTTTTCAATTAATTTATTTCGCACGTTACCACCGTCATCGAATCCATCCGGAACCGATTATGATCCGGAAGAAGATGAGCCAAATTTAGAAGTAGCTTGGCCACATTTACAACTAGTATATGACTTTTTCTTGCGGTTTTTGGAATCACCCGATTTTCAACCAAATACTGCTAAACGTTATATCGATCAAAAATTTGTATTAAATGTAAGTTATGCGCAAAACATTTTATTTTTTTCTTATGATTTTTATTTATTTTTAGCTTCTGGATTTATTCGATAGTGAAGATCCACGTGAACGTGACTTTTTAAAAACAATTTTACATCGTATTTATGGTAAATTTCTTGGTTTACGTGCGTATATACGTAAACAAATAAATAATACATTTTACAAGTTTATCTATGAAACAGAAAGACATAACGGTATAGCTGAATTATTAGAAATACTTGGAAGGTCAGTTGTTGTTTAATATACAGGACACATTGTTCATATAGTTGTATCTCATTCTAGTATCATAAATGGTTTTGCATTACCACTTAAAGAAGAACATAAAGTATTTTTGATTAAAGTGTTATTACCATTACATAAAGTGAAAACATTAAGTGTTTATCATCCACAATTAGCTTATTGTGTTGTACAATTTCTAGAGAAAGATCCTAGTTTAACACAACCGGTATGTTACTGAGGTTTAAATGATTCGAAACTTCTGTATAGTAAACTTTCTTACTCCTAGACTTTTGGCAAGTACTAACACTCTTCTCATAAGCAGTAAACGATCAGTATTCAGCAGGATAATTTTTATGACTGTAACATAATGTTCACCGCTGTTATTGATGATCTGTAGCACATTTGAATTGATTTGTTCTAGAATTAATAAAATCTCTTTTTCTTTTTTTAAAGGTGATACTTGGCCTGTTAAAATTTTGGGTGAGTAATTATTTTATTGCGCAATTATTTCATTGATCTTGGTAGTCAATAATATACCACTGTCTTCGATTTTTTATCCAATTTTTGCTTAAAATTTGTTAATAATTCATACTGTACTTGACTATTTTAGCCTAAAACGCATAGTCCAAAAGAAGTTATGTTTCTTAATGAACTGGAAGAGATCCTTGATGTTATTGAACCGGCAGAATTTCAAAAAGTTATGGTGGCATTGTTTAAACAATTGGCAAAATGTGTTTCAAGCCCACATTTTCAGGTAAAATAATTGAGTACACTTATGCAATGATCTCATCAAAGAAAACGAATAATTTCTTATTCAACGGAACTAGTTCAATGGAACAAAGTGAATTGCCTCCTTATCTTTAGAAGATCTTTTTGGCGACTAAAGCAACAAAGTTTTATCCATTTAGGTTGCTGAACGAGCTCTATATTATTGGAACAATGAATACATAATGAGTCTATTAACTGACAATGCTACTGTTATATTACCAATTATGTTCCCAGCGTTGTACAAAAATACAAAAACTCATTGGAATAAGTAATACCCAAATTCTTCTGTACTGATCAAGTTTGTTGTTATCGTTCATTCTTTTCTCTACTAGAACAATTCATGGTCTTATTTATAATGCATTAAAATTATTTATGGAAATGAATCATAAGTTGTTTGATGAATGTACACAAAAATATAAAGTTGAAAAGCAAAAAGAAAAGGATAAATTACGTGAACGTGAAACGGCGTGGACAAAAATTGAATCAAAAGCAAAACAAAATCCTAGTGTAATTATTTTTCCAGTTCTTATTCTAATCTCAATAGTAGTTTTGCGTGTGTTTTAGTACAAACATTTTGCGAATAATCAACCCGAGTTATATCGTCCAAATGAAAATGATGATGAAGATACAGGAACAGCAAACATAACGGCAAAAGAAATTGAACAAGAAGCAAGAGAAGTACGTATCTGTTAAATTCAGACGACTACTTTCATTCTGAGTAGAGTGTGAGTAAAACCGATAGGAATCATTATTTTAGATGAAAATGTCTCGATGAAATACTTGAATGTAAGATTTCATGCCATATGTTTGGTGTAAATAAAAACAGAGCACTCAAAAGAGACGCGAGAATGCCGAGAAGGCGTGCGCTGATTTATATTTGTTTTACGTCTGTCTATTTATGCATGTAAAGAAACAGAACAAGATAAAATGTAGGCTCATATTGGTTTTGGACTTTTTAAGGCATTTTTTTCATAGTTAAGGAACGATAAAGTTCTAAAAAGAACTTTTTGATGTAAATTACCATAACGTTACGTTCTCTTACTTTTTGCAACATAATCTGCAAGTACAAGAGTTTCACGAGACGGAACGCGAAATTATTCACAAAAAAAGATTAAATATTAGTACATTACAAGCGAACAATGTTCTTTTAACCAGATCACTTTTAGTCTTTTTCTTGTGATACATGAAGAGACAAAATATCGGGTCAGGATAACATGAAAAGTCTTATCCCGTAAGGTCTACTATATACAGATGAGTAGATGGAATTTAAGACGTATTTGTTGATATATCCCTTGAGATCGATGCAACTCCTATTCTAAGGAGGCAGATGTTGTATTTTCTTTCCTATTATGATTAACGACTTATTCATGGTAATGATATTGTCTTTTTCTATTTTTCAGGCTAGTCGTTCAATGAACAAAGGAAAACCAATGTTACGACGAAAAAGTGAATTGCCGCATGATTATTCAACATTGAATGCGTTAGAAAAACACAAACGTCCAAATGATTTTTTAACAGCATCATCTGAAACAAATTTAAATAATTAAACATGTCATGTTCAAGATATTCTCTTTTCTCTTACGAAACACTATGGACGTTGCTTCTTCTTGAACAAATAGCGACTGAATATAGAAAAAGTCATTACTCTTCTTCTTTTTTTTTGAGCATGTGAGCATATAGTGGAATATTTTGACCATCAACAGTAAAATATTTACCATAGATTTTTTGAAGCAGAAAAAGGCGGATATTCTAAGCATCTTTCATAACTGTAATCTCTTTTTTTCGATGAAATTAAATTAAATCTTATTAGATACATGTAAACACATCCATATTTTTCGACGAAAAAATTTTGTTTCTTTTTGTTTGTTTGTAATTCAACTCTTGTATTATTTATTCTACGCAAGTGATGTTTTTGTGTTTCGTTTTTTTTTTATCTTTCTTTATTCTCATATGTAGAACTCCTCCTTCTTTTAACTTTGCGCATCACCAACGTAGACAAAACTTTGAGCGAACTGTCTCTAGCCCGTGAGGCTTTAATTATTTAACACAATTAGGTTTTTTTTTGCTCGTCGTTTTTTTCTTCAATAAATTTTCTTCTGTAAAAAACCAGAATTCATAGCTTTTCTTCTTGTTGTGTGCGCGTGTCGTTTTTTCCTCTTTTAAATAATTAATCATATCATATACAACTCATATAAGAAAATATAGATAAAAAATGTTTGTTTTTTTCAATAAGTTAAGTTTGTGTTTGCATGGAAAAAAAATTTAGAATAGATCCATTCTACTATTACTTTAGTGTAAGCGCTATTTAATTCTAACTATTTGAAATTTCCCCCTTACAGAATGATACAATTTCGACGTCTTATTCAATTTTATCTGGTTTCTCTTCACTTGAGCATCAGATTAATATGTCTTTACAGGTTACTCCATTTTTATAATGACAAACATATGAAGTATTTAAGTTATATTTTGTTATCATTTAGCATTTTACAATCATGTTTAGATTTATTTGACTTTTATCGACAAGCATGTCGATAACTATTTGTGCTATTGGAGTACATCCGTTCACCTTTCTTACTACAGACGTTTCATCTTGTTTCATTCTTCCTATCATGATATAATAGTAGTTTAGTTTCTCTTCTTGATAAATACACTTTACAGTGTCAGTATCTGATGCAAAAAAAACAAAATTATGAATCATAAAAGTTTTATCGATCAACGTCTGAAGTCAAAAATAATGATCGTTTTTCTCAATATTCTTGGTTCCCTCACTGATAATTTTCTTTTTCATCCAAAAAACATCATTATGAAAAATTTGCCACCTTGGTCGTTTCAGCCCCGGTGACACTAACCAACGTGAACATAAATCCATAAAATAAGATAAGATTAAACTCACATTTCTTGTTAAAATCGTCTTTCTACTTGTTTTAGATCTGATCGAAAAACTAAACTTATGTTTTTTGCGTTTTATGTGCTTCAGAAGAAAAAGCAATAATCCCCCATTTTTTGTTCTATTTCCGTTTTAAATTTTGTTTTTTTCATTTAATGTTGTTCTAAATTTTCTCTACACATGTTTTATGCGACGTTTTCGAGAAAATATAATATATATGTTCTGAAATAATAATGTATATTTATTAACTGTTTAAACCGTCTATTACTATCCATTTGTTTGTCCAAGTGATGAACTTTTATGCATATTTTAGATTAATACCATATTTTATATCTCTTTTTTGATTCAATTCGCCACATAATGTTAAACTGAATGATTAATATAAACACGTTGATTTCATTTCTTCTCGAAGTAATATCTCTTGTAAACATTTGCATTTAAATATTTATTCATAATGAATTTTATATCTTGTCAACATCTATGACTAATTCTTAAATTGCATAATCTATATGGCTAATGATTCTCTAACAGTTAAAGTAGAAATGAACGAAGTGGCAACGACAAAATCATCATTATCACCAAATGAAGATGATTGGGAAACAGCTATTGATAGTGGCGAATTTGATAAGCGTATTGAACAACAAGAAAAAGCAAGAAAAAACGAGCAACAGAATGAGGCATCCTTGATAACTGGAAATAGTCAGGTAAAGAAATACTCTAAGATTTGTTTACAGATAAAAAATGAGATTGTTGTTTTCTGCAGCAAAGTAACGATCAACCGTCAGACATCAAACCTTCAAAAATTGGTTCCAATGGACCAATACGTATCCTGAAACGGCCGCCTAGTCAGCCACAGATAAATGGGACTTATTCAGTAGCAGCGCCAGCCAATAATAACAGTAATAATTACACAACATCGCCAAACAACTCACAACCAGTATCTCCTTCTCCTAATAATGGTCCCGTTGTTTCGATTATTCGTAATACAGTAAAAAGTAATCCATCTCATTCATCATCTAGTAATTCGACATCAACAAATTCAAAACAGCCGCCAATAAAAACATATGAACAACGTGAATTAGAATATCGGTTAGCTCGTTTAAGGTACGGTTTACTATTATTTATATTAATACTCAAATATAAATATAACTGACGGTTCTTTTTCACTCGCTAATAGGATTATGGGAACAGAGCAAGATGAAAATGCCGAAGAAGAGAAAAAAGAGTTACCATTACCAATAATGACGGACGAACCGAACAAAAGCAACAATAGTACTACAAGAACTAAATCACAAACACAATCATTCGGTCAATCAAATTCAACACCGGGTAGTTATGCATCGGATTTATTTCAATTAAATAATGGTGCAACCATCAATCTTATACCAGCACAACAATCGACAACATTCACTACATCAAGTAATTTTCTTCCGCAACATCATTATTCAATACCATATCAACCTGCAACAACGACAACGACTCTATATTTAACCTCAACAGCTCCTTTTATCACCTCTCCAGTTTCCAGCACTCATATAACACAAACTTGGCAACATAGACAGCAGTAGCCCTATTCACGTTTTTTGAACAAAGTAATGTTTTTCTGTTTGTTGATCTATAAATCTATAAATCTATTTTCTGTCAAGTTACATTTTGCTTTCAAAGAGCAAGTACGAACGTGTGTAGTTGTCGAGTTCTCCGGATTGGTCTAAAACAATAATAATTTTATGTTCGTTGTTTTTGCCTTCTTTTTCTTTGTTTTTTCTTTTTTTATCGGTTATTATATAAGAACATATTGTTTTTTCTATCTTAAATCCAGTGATTGATTATAATAGAACTAAGGATTGGAAGATCAGCAATGCAAAACTAAGAGAAACGTTTTTGGGTAAAATTCACATTAAGAAGAGGCTGAATAAAGATGCTCATACCCACTCTTGTCTAAAACTTTTGAAGAGTTAACAGTGCCCGAGAGATAAGGTACATTATGTGTTTTGTATGTAAGCGCAACAACTGTTTTATTAACGGATTTAGAATGTGAGCAAATTTCGCCTAAATGTATTTTTACGTAGAAACAAAAGAATTATGTTGGTAGACGAAGCTTTCTGTTATTTTAATTCTTTTTTTGATTCTTTGTGTCTGTGTTTGTCCGCCTGTGATTATCATAAAACTATCTTGGAATTTGTTCTGGATATTTCCACACATGACCATTCATTTATGTATGATTTCAAGTCGGCAATATGATGCTATGTGCATCCTGTAGTCCGTGTCGAACTATGTATAAATCTACATCTTTTTCGATGGGAACATTTGCGAAACCTGGTAGTGGGGAACTTATTAAAGATCACGTCCAGAGTAAGGACCCTTTTATATTAACAGAATATTTTCAAAACAATCTGAGTTTTCCATTCGATAGCGCCTTAGACGTTGCTTTTTTCTGAAGTTTGTGAACAATAAAAGAGACGAAGAACCATATTGTGTGTCCAACAATCATAATCTAAGAAACTTGTTTTATTCTCTCTCATATGACACGTCTTCCAGCCTTGTGGATTATTCCGTTACTGAGATAGTAGTATTAGAAGCTCTAAATAAAAGTATGAGTGTGGAAAACATCCCAGATTAATAAAAATGAGATATCTTATCAGCCGAACATTGTTTCCTTGGAAAAGCTAGGTGACGTCTCATTTGACAGAGAATTGTTTACTCTACATTATAAATTTACTGGAAAGAGCTTTTGACACTTGATTTTCCATATATCCTCCAGTAAACTAGATTGTAGGATATCCTTTCTATACCATTTTTAAAAATCAGACGACCATCTAACTGAAATACCTCATGACTAAATTAATATGTAAAGCTAGACCTTACATCATGATACATATAGATAGCAGTTGTTCGCCCCTTTTATTGTTCACGAGCTGCAGGATTATAACCATAAAAGCAATATCTAAGGCACTATCGAATGAAAAACTCGGATTGTTTTGAAAATATTCGGTTAATATAAAAGGGTCCTTACTCTGGACGTGATCTTTAATAAGATCCCAACGCGCACACGTTCCTATCGAAAAATGCACATAGCGTCATGTTGCTGACTTGAAATCATATATAACTGAGTTGAAACTATCCATATATTCTGTGATTCTCAGCGGAGTTAGTTTTCGTTGAAATTTGCGCGAACAATGATATAATAGCGATCGATTATAACGACAGGATCCCATCAGGCATAATCGTGCAATAAACTAACAGTTCAACAGCCATGTATAGAAATACCCTTCACCAATGATAACTGTATTTTCATTACTTTTCTTCGCTGAAAACTGGATGCAGAACAGTAAAGTCCGTTCTGATAAAGGTGCGTTTTCTAAACGATAACAAAATGTATCTGCTTTGTAGACAGTGAACGTGTTGCATTTAGCTTTTTCGCTCGTACAACAAAATGCACCATAAAGTTGCCTTGTTATTTTGTTATTATTTACTATTTCTTTATTCTGGATTTACTTAGGTGTTGATGCCAGGTTTATATATCAGAAAAATATCTGTTCTAAAGAATATGTTAATTTCTGTGCTCGAATAATTTTTTGGTTCATTCAAAAATAGTTTTTACTATCTTCTTTGCCGCATATATGTACATTTCTTCTAACTTTCTCTTGTTTTCTTCAACCGTTGCTACATTTTTCTCTTTTTGTTCGATTTCTTCTTAGCTTTAATTCTATTTTTAAAAAAATCATAAACAATTGAGTTACATATTCAAAAAATAAAACACACGAAGAAAACTTAGAGTTAAAATATCTGGTTTATACGTTTAACAGATGAATGGAATAAGCGAGGCTATCTTTCTGCACCTCTTAGTTGACGTCTTTTAAAAATTTGAGATGTTAGGTATCATTGAAATCAAACACGAGTATGTCTGAGTGAGATTTACAGTCGCTAAAATGTTCCTCGGATCCTCTTCACTACTTTTTGTCATGAGGGAATCACTCTTTATATTTCCCCTCTGTCGACAGGTCTGGTAGGCGAAATAGACAGTAGAGACCTGCAACCCAACCCGAACCCGATCCGGTTCGGGTTAAGATGTTGTCGGGTCGGATCGGGTTCGGGTTAAGATGCTGTCGGGTCGGATCGGGTTTGGGTTAAGATGTTGTCGGATCGGGTCGGATTCGGGTTGAATATTTGGCGATGCAATTTAAAATATAAATAATATTTTTAGCTTTGTATTACTGATTGAAAGTTATCTCTACTGGAATTTCCAGTTTAAAGACTTGTTTCAGAACAACTGCATTCACTAAGTCGATTAATGATTGCTTTCTTTGCACATAAGAGAGTGCTTCCTGCACTGAAATCAATGGCAATACATCCCTTACTGCTTTTTTTCAATGTACT